AAATCGACTTTCCGGATCAGTGATTCGACCAATCAAATTTTAAATGTACATGTAGAGCATTTGATGTTGTGAACTAATGACATTTGCAAAGCTATAGAATCGTTTAATTGATTGTCCGTGAAAAAGTTTTGCCCTGTTTGTAAAAGCTATGCTTTGTACATGTACACTTTTTTTTTTTTAATTGAATGTTTAAGGTCACATGCACCTTCTTAGGTTATGAGTGACCACGATTGCTTTGGAACTATAAGGTACTTATGTAGGTTCATAATTATCTTCAAGGCTTACAGTTTGTGATAGATTCCGATATCTTTCAGGAAGGCTAGGACTTTCCTGCATGAGTCTGTCTTTTGTAGCATGCTTGTTACGCTTGATATATTATATCGCATCCTTTTGGCACAATATTTGGGGCATTGGACTAGGATGTGTTCGATGGATATTTGTTCGTTGCATACTTCACACACCATTGGGCTCGATTTGGTGATTAGGAAGGAATGGGTTATTCTGGTGTGGCCTATTCTTAATCTGGTTAGAATCACTTGATCTCTTCGGTTCATGTAAACTGCCGGGCTAATGTCATATACATTGTCGCGAATTTTGTGTAGTGCAGTAGGTCTTGAGGTTATCCAATCTTGGTTCCATCGTTCCTTTGCAGCTTTGGTGAGATATTTTTGGAGATCTTGACAGGGAACAGGTATAGAACATGTTTCAGATGTGGAGGTGCTCGCTTCTTTTGCCGCTGAATCTGCCGCTTCGTTTCCTTTAATACCTACATGTGATGGGATCCAGGAGAATAGGAGGTTTTTCCCAGAGCTGTTAAGAGCAACATTTTTTTCGATAATATTTTGTATTATTGTATTGTCGGTTTCCAGATTTTGTAAAGCGGATATAGTACTTAGGGAGTCGGTTAATATAATAAATTTATTGTATGCTGATTTCTCAACATACAGCAGGGCCTGGAGGATAGCATAAGCCTCGCTCGAGAAGATTGAGTAGGAATCCGGTAACTTGAAAAGGAGTTTGTCTTCTGGGGTGCATACTGCGCATCCTGTCCCTTCTTTTGACTTCGACCCATCCGTAAATAGTTGTTTGTGGTTTGGGTAATCATTAGTTAGTTCAAGAAACAGGGATTGTATGATGTTTCGATCTGTATTTTTGGTGACTTGTAAGAATTTGTCTATTACACAAGGTGGTTGTATTGTCCATGGAGCAATCGCTAATTGTTTTCTGACGAGAACTGGGGAAATTTCAATTTGCATGTCTTGCAAGTATTTTTTAAGTCGGAAGTTCAGTGGTTTCGGATGCGTAGGTCTTATGCGGAGGCTGAGTGATTGTTCATCTGACGTTATTAGGCCATGTATAGGGTTTGATGGCGTGGAAAGTTTGGCAACCGCGTAGGTTAGACTTAATTGTTTTCTTCTGACTTCAAGTGGTTGTACATTGGCCTCGGCTAGTAATGCGACGACTGGGCTGGTCCTGAATGCTCCGGATGCAATTCTGGCTCCCGCATTATGGATAGGTGACATTATTTTAAGAAGGTGCGGTTTTGCCGAGTCATAGACAATTGAGCCGTAGTCGATTTTAGAGAGAATTAGAGCTTTGTATGTTTTGATCAGAATATGGAATTCAGCTCCCCAGCTTTTTGATGCTATGGTTTTTATGATATTTAATTTCCGGGTACATTCGGTTTTTAGGTTCTTAAGGAATGGAATCCATGTGTGTTTTTTATCGAAAACCAGTCCAAGAATTTTGGAGGTGTCTGTTGTTTTTAGTTGGTGTCGCCCGAGATACAATTGGAGTTGGTAATTTTTATCCTTTCTGCTACTTGAGAAAATAGTTACCATAGTTTTGTTCTTGGAGAATTTAAAGCCAGTTAGTGATCCAAAGTTTTGGAGTCTGTCCAGATTGTCTTGCAAAATTTGTTGGCTAGTTTTGATATCTTTCCCGGTGATATAAATTGTACAGTCATCCGCAAATAAAACATGCTTGACTTCCAGATTGGATTTGAGTAATATTTCGGAGTAGTATATGTTTTCTTTTATATATATTGCGACTCCACCACTTGCAACTAAAGCCTCCGGTCTATTTTTAAATGTAACATTATAACCTTTGATACTGATGCATTTATTTTCTTTAAAATTTGTTTCTTGTAAACATAGTATATTTGGCTGGTGATCGTGGATTAGTTTTTGAAGGAATTCGAATCGTGTATTTAGACTGTTTACGTTCCACTGTAAAATTTTGTTTAACATGGGTTGCTCTCAGGAAGTGGAGATATTTAATTTGGAGGTGGGTTAAATGTGGGGGGTAAGGTCTGTGGCTCAATCATAGTCTCATCTTCGGATGAAGGAATTGGGGAATCTGTTGACATGTTGAATTGTGGAGGTTTCAGTAGTTTTCTAGTGATCCTAGTAAAACGGTTTTTAATACTCCTGTCTTTTAGGTGAGGGTATAGTTCATGCATAAAGGATGCTAGGGTGTTGGTATACTCTACAAATTCTGTGGCTGTCTCCTTGGTACCAGCGTATCCTTGGGCTTTTTCTATGAAGTTTTTAAGCTGATTGTAGTTTAACAATTTACCTGGTTCATCCAGCATATGTTTTATGGGATCTAGCACAGCATCTAGATTTTTGATCGTGGGGTCTGAATTGATAGTTTTTTTCTTTGGCGGTTTACGAACTGGCTCCTTCATCATATCGTTGGTGGTGCTGCTAGAAGTGTCAGTCATTTCTTCACGGGTACGTTTTAATGACGAAGGAGTTTGGTCTGTTTCCATGTTTTGTACTATTTCCAAATTTTGTGTTATTTCTATGTTTTGTGGTATTTCCATGCTTTCCATTGTTCTGTTTTGCGTTTCCCTTGTTGGTTCATGGGAGACGTTTGCGTTGCTGGTATGGGGAACTATCTTAGTCGTTTCTTTAGTAGTGGCGGAGGGGGTTCCTTTCGATGTGTCGTTGCACATTGGGCGGTCTTCGTTATTTTTACAATTTTTGGCGACATGTCCTTCTTGCTTACATATGAAGCATTTTACTGCTTCGGTAGAAGGGTACACCCAGTATGTAGTTTGATCGTGTTCTATTTTCATAGATTCTGGTACCTTGTGTACGTCTTCTGGGCGTATGTACACCTGCCGACGGAAGCTAAGTATGTGTGCGTAGCCTTCTTCTGTTATGCCAGCTCTTAGGAAGGAAACGGCCGATTCACTTTTGATTTCCAGCTCGTCGAAACATTCTTCTATTATTGCATGTGGAATCGTTGGGTAAACATTTGAAAGTATGATGCGTTGGTATTTGTTGATGAGCGGTCTCAGATAGAGATCTGTGTTGTCGATTTTAATATGATTGTATTTACCTGTGATGTTATCCGCGGTTTCTTTGGTAGCGAGGAATACACAAATTCTGCCATTAGAAATTCTAGATATAAATCGAATGTTGCTTGGGCTAGTTAGTTTTCCCAAGGCTTGGACGTAATCCCTTATCTGTATTCCCTCTTTGGCTTCAATTACGATTGCTTGTTCTTTCTTCGGGAAACTGTCACTTTGGAGGACGTTGGTGTAGCTTCGACGTTGCTGTACATTGGGGGTGTTCTTTGCAGAGAACATTTCGGTGAAAAGGTTGCACCGAGATGCTTATGAGAGAATGACCACAGGAGCTTGCACGCTCCCGTGTACGGATGATACTGATTTGCACTTAATGCACTGCTAAACGAATGAGAAACTTCACTTGAAATACTCGCGATGGCACTCGCATTCACGATACGCACGGAATTTATAACACGTCCAAACGCTTCGGCTGTCACCATGCGACTCCCATGTACACTTTATGTTTTTCAATTTGTATATTATTTGATATGTTTGGAATATGAACTTATAAACTGCGTGTCATACGAACTTCAGAGCAAACAAAATTCGTTGTAGGGAGCACTGGACTTCACATCCTGTGCTGGAGTCATTTGTGACTCACACTGTTAATTCATTAAAATATTACGCAACAAATTGAATTATTTACATAATAAGTAAAGTATTGCCATGAGACTATTATAATTAATAATGTATTTGTAGACTAATTTGTTTTACGGAATTTAGAAAAAAATAAAAAGTACGAGATGGATAGAAATCATTGTCTCGTGAATAATGTATTGTATATACGACATAGAATTTTTAAGTACGGTAGGATGATGTAATGAATACAGTTTAGTGGAAATTGTGGGAAACGAAATACGTTATCTGAGTTTATGACTTATTAAAGTGGGCCTCGTTGGATATATCATTTGCGAATCGTTTTGAATTTGCATTGAAATTGCTTTTGGCATCGGCGATGAGATAAGTTGTAGTGCCATAATTTGTAGCCTCGTTAGTAATAAGAAATGTATTCAGTAAAAAGTTAAAAAGCCACGATTTCAATATATTAAATATAAATTTCGCGAATATATACGGTTGAAGTAATTTAGACAATCTAATAACAATTAAATATTTTCTTTGGAAATAAAATGAGAAAGCTTTATAGCAATCGAAATGGCGATAGATATTTCGCAAGAATGCTTGCTGATCGTGAACAGAATGTGTTATTTTATTGCTAGCATGGAAATAATTTTGCAAATCATTTTTGCAATTAATTTTTGCAATTAATTTTTGCAATTAATTTTTACATTTAATTTTTGCAATTAATTTTTACAATTAATTTTTGCAATTAATTTTGAAACTCCGTTTCTATACATTTAAATAAAACACGTAACTAAATAATAATCTACAGAATACCCAAAGAGATTACGCAGAGTTGTCGTCAGTCACCCAAGCCTATTATTTTCATATCTTTTCTGCAGCCAAGAACTGTCAATTAACAGTGCAAAAAGCAAACAAATATTCATTAAGACACTTAATTGTTATAATTAAGATATAAATTTGCATTGTATTTCGCTTACATCAGCAATTTAAAAAAATGTGATATGTATAAGCGTCTTTTTGCCTTGTTATAACTTCAATGTCTATATTTATTTATAACAACTCACGTCACTTACTAGTATATAAGGAATATGAAGCTTATATGTCGAGAACTCAGTTTTTGGAAGCATCCGACAACAGAACGCTGTTCACAATGAAAGGTGTACTTTTTTTATTTATTTGTGCAATATATTTTAAGGCTTGTTCCTTTTGTGATGTAAAAACAAACCGTGGGGTTGTAAATGGCATACAACAGTTATCAAAGAACGGTAAATTCTATTGGTCGTTCAATGGCATACCTTATGCAGAGCCACCAATTGGAAAACTTAGGTTCGTATCTATGTGTATTCGAAACTTATTTTTTAAATTATTCACTACACTTCTCAATTTTATTGCGTTGTTACATGTTTGTTAGATATTCTCTGGCGAAACGATACATGAGAACATCAATATTTGGCCAATGATTCAAAATAATCCTTTTAATACTCTTGTGCATGTACAGAAGTGACAATATAGTATTCGAAGACGAAATGGTGGCACTCTGCCTACAAACTAAATGACGCAAGAGGCGAGAGAGAGATTCCCTTTGTTCCTCGCGTCGTTTAGCGAGTTTGCCAACATCTCGTCTTTTAATAGTACATATGTTCAAATCAACTTCTATCGTAGAAATATTATGTCATTGTTGATCTTTTCAAAGCATAAATTTATAAAAAAACAATATATGCTGAACAATTTTCTTATTATTATCGTTATTATATATTATATTTATTTAAGAATTTAAAGAATTTTTAATATTATAATACTAATTATTTCAAATTTATAAATTATTTCATTTCCCAGAAATGAAATAAAACACTCTTTTATCAAACGTAATGTCTAAAAAGGAATCGGTATAGTAACATATTTTACAAATTATAGATTCAAAGCTCCGGTTCCGAAAATACCATGGATACAAACTCTCAAGGCACACGAAGTCCGCGATCAATGTATAGAATTCAGAGATGGCGTGAAGGGTCAAGAGGATTGCTTGTACTTAAACATTCATACTCCACAGGTTATTTATAATAAATTTTATTATGACGAACAATTTTAGAAAGTAGTTCGCAAAACAATTAGTCGTCCAGACTCAACATGCACCTAGTTGAACATACATGGTGGTCGAAGATGGTTATACCATCATTAAAGCATTATCAACACGTTGAATGCCAGACTAAAATCGTAAAATTTTTGTTGACATTGAAACTTTGATTTTGAACAATTGTTCAACTTGACAATTAATTGTTTCAGTTACAGAGTGAAAAATCCTGTCACTGATATATAAATGTGTTAACAAGTGTTATGTTATTCTCTTCTGCAGCTAGGAACTGATGTTCTGCTACCTGTCATGGTGTACATACATGGTGGCAGTTCTACGCAGGGTAACGCAAGTAAAATTTTAGACGGGCCAGGATACTTGCTCGACAAGAACGTCGTGGTAGTCACGATCAACTTTCGGTTAAGCATTATGGGTTTCCTCAGCACTGGAGACTTGGCGGCGCCTGGAAATTTCGGTTTGAAGGATCAGGTGCAGGCGCTATACTGGATAAAAAATAACATTCGTCAGTTTGGAGGGAATCCCGACGACATTACTTTGTTCGGCGAAGGTTTTGGCGCCGATTGCGTTCATTTGCATACTCTTTCGAAGAGATCTACAAGTACGTATATCGTTACGTAAAAGTTATTCGTTATTTGACGGAGTCTCGTCTCTGGATAAGTTGCTTAACGAAAAATGAAGAAGATTCAGTCTCTGTGAATTACTAATCTAGGAATATCGAACATTTAATCGGTATAACATTTTCCTGAACAAAGATATTAGAGAATAGTAAGGCGTTCTACTTTTTGAAATTATAATACTTGATATAGTAGTGATCGAACGCGATATCGATTAGTTCGAGGGGCGCACTAATCATGGCGCGTTTTTCGAAACGAGTAAAGGGGACCAGGCAGTCAGATTGAGCCTTATTGTAAAGGCTTATTAATACAAGACAGTTACGTATAAATAATTTGTTTTGATAGCTTAGAATGTATACAAATACAATTTTTGCTGATCCCCTGAAGAGAATTTTTACCAGAAATTGGCCTCGAGACGAGAAGATTTATGTCCCCTTAGTGGAATTTTAATTAAATATATACTTTGTTATTTATTAATCAGTTCCTAGTATCCTGACACTCTTAGTCGATTTATGTATACAGTTAAAAATGACTAAATAATAGAAAAAATTTATTTTTGATTAAATGTTGTCTACTGGACAGAAAATAATTTATTTCGTAATTAATTATATATTGCAGAATTATTCAAACGCGGCATTCTTCAGAGTGGAGCTGCTTTGAATCCGCGTGCGTTCACCAGCGATCCAAGCTATTACCAGATACCGAAAAAAGTGGCAGCAAAGTTGAATTGTCCTACTGCCAATTCTTTATTGATGATCGAGTGTCTTCGTAAAGCAAATGCTCAGAAATTAGTAGATACACTTTCCGTGTTCGACGAGCTGTCGATTGAGTCGCAGACCTTATGGAGACCGACGAAGGAACCAAGCAACATCGAGGCATTTTTAACAAATACTCCGGAAAATTTGATTAGAGAAAATAACTTTAACGATTGTCCATTGATCACTGGAAACGTAGTGGACGAGGGAACGTTCTTCACACGCCGTGAGTCGCAAAGATTTTGTTAATTAAAATTTTGGGATGTAGAGTAAACAATTTTTGAAGGAATATATATCTTAGAATTGATAGTAACTGAAGTTGGTATTTAAATCAGTTCTTCGGTTGTCATATATACCCCATCTTATACACATCATTTTTTCTTAATTGTTACTTTATCAGGTTTTATGGAATTTGAGTTGAAAAACATTTTTATATATTAAATATTATACTATAAAAATATTTAAAGAACTAACGCGTTATTCGATTACGTAGGACTCGTTGAGAATCAGAAACTGTATGACGAATGTGTAAAGAACCCTGTGTCCGTAATAGAACGTTTCTTGCGTTATTACGAACCATTGAGAGGAAAGAATGTGACAAATTTGGCTGCGAAGATCGTCAAATTTTATTTCGGAAATAAAGTATCCGGTGACAAAGATTCTGTAAGTATAATATATCTACAAAATTAATGGAGTAATAAATACACATATAATAGTAAAAAGAATATTAATATTCGTAATTAATTCAAATTATGTAGATATTAAGAAAAATTCGATATAGTATGAAAAATATATAAATTTATTGATATTGATGTCTAATCATCTTTCGCGCGTCTTCTCTTGGTTTCAGATTATTTCCATTTTCACAAAATTCGCAACAGACTTTTTCTACATTTTCCCCCAAATTCAGCTAGTGGAAAGCATGAAAACTCTTAAGAAGACACCTTTTTATTCTTACCAATTCAATTACCACGGAGCTCTCAGTTACGCGCTACTTTTTGGCGGTGAATTTGCAAAACATGGTATCGCGCAAGGAGATGATCTATTTTACTTGTTCCCACTGAGCTCGAAAAGCATCGGTGCAAAGTTTAATATTGAACGCACCAAGGACGATTTCAAAGTCATTGATCTACTGATTGATTTATGGACCAGTTTTGCTAAAAACAGGTGCGGAAATTACTACAGAAATATTTCAAATTCTATAAAGCAAATGAAATTTCATAAAACTTTATGAAATTTATGAAGTAAATGAAATTTTATGAAATTCTATGGAATTTATAAAACAAATGAAGATAATGCTTCTAATTCTAATGTAAATAATGAACGAATATTATTTTTAGCAAACCCTCATCGACTCTCATGGAGAATGCTCATACTTGGGAGTCATATAAAATTGGAGGCTACCTGAAGATCGGAAATGGTACTGATACGAAGGCTAAATTGACAAAGGTTGATCTTACAGACAGCTTGAAGTTTTGGCTTGAGAACGTGCCACAATATTCCTTGACATCATCATGTAAACATAGTAAGGAAGATAATGATAGCAAGGAAAAGAAACACAGTAAGGAAGATAGTGATAGTAAGGAAGATAGTCACAGTAAGGAAGACAAAAAAAATAAAAATAGTAAGGAAGATAGTCACAGTAAGGAAGACAAAAAAAATAAAAATAGTAAGGAAGATAATCACAGTAAGGAAGACAAAAAAAATAAAAATAGTAAGGAAGATAAACAATAAGCACTGAAAACTGATACGAAATATCACCTTCCTTAATCGTTTCTATCAGGTTACTGTTAAAATGATACGTATCTTATCCAATTATTGCAACAATGTGTATATGTAGTGAATAAGTTAATAAAACGAGCATTTATTTTTAATTGAAATTTTAGAAACGCTGTTATAGTAAAATTATATTCCCAATTTAAATTAAATTCTAACATACCTTACTACTAGAATCTGATTACATTGCTATACTTACATCATATAAATATTAACTATAAAACATGCATTAGCAAATATGTCACAAAGAAATTTATTAATTACATCCTCATATACCTAGCATTCCGTAGAGCTAATGGGCTAGATATCTGATCCTGTCTAATAAAATTCACTCGGCGGTCAGTTCTTCCAAATACAATGGCGGCCTCGAACTTACATGGCGCATCCCTGAGAATCCTTTTCCTCTGCAGCTGCTTCTTTCGAACGTCCATTTTTGGCAGTTCCGGGAAACCCTGATCTACAAAGGCTTTCATCATTCTTCTCTTGTTCCGCCGCTTATGACGTCTGGCTGACTGCCGTAAACTCTTGTCAGTGCTACAAACGTTCAACCAGTTTCGTGACACTTGCGCAACACACAACAAAGATTCAGGATCCAACTTGCGTAGAATTAACTGCGACACCTCCAAAGGCAGTTCAGAGATGAAATCTACCTTGGTGGGTTGCAGCAATCCAATAACGCGAAGAAAGGACTTGAAGAACTCCATGTTGTCACTGTTGTCGCAGGGGCTCGAATAATGCACCTCTGAAAAATTTGGGATATATATACCCCCGGTCACGGTCGACTGCATGTTCCGAATCGGTGGTTCGGCCAATCACGTCCGAGGAGGAGCAAATCGACTTTCCGGATCAGTGATTCGACCAATCAAATTTTAAATGTACATGTAGAGCATTTGATGTTGTGAACTAATGACATTTGCAAAGCTATAGAATCGTTTAATTGATTGTCCGTGAAAAAGTTTTGCCCTGTTTGTAAAAGCTATGCTTTGTACATGTACACTAGGGTGGAACGAAATATAGGGGCAAAATATTTTTTTATTGTTCATGGCTTCTAATAGTGGGCAAAAGTTGTCTTTTATAATGATATTTAAGCTGCCAAAGTTTGAACGTGATCAACAAATTTTTTGAGGTGCCGCAAGCCTTTCAAAAATTAATATTAACTGATTGTGTGTGGTTTTCGTGATTTTTTCAGTAATTTACAGTAATTTGCCATTTGTTTCCACCAGATAATTTTTCTTAATACATTTTAACGATAATCTTAGATGAGAAGGATTGGCAGTAGCTAATAAAAAGTATCATTTCAAAAGATTTCTTTATTTTCTCATTCACAAAATAATAATGAAAAAATTGATTTTAATGAAAATGTTAGATGTAATTAGATCATTAAACATGAAATTTTTTATTGATATGTCTTTAATTTAAACTGTTTCTTCGTTTCAAAAGAAGACATCAATTTTTGCGATTCGATCTTAGCCATTATGAATCCATCCCTTGCAGTTTCTCCACAGACAGCAGATGAAGCTTCAGTTACGCGTTTCAGTGAAAACTTGATTGGCAGATCTTTTTCCGTACAGTTTTCTGAAGTTATTTCTACCAGATGTCGTAGTTCATCTTCTTCAAATTGTTGTATCATCGGAGGCTCAGTGATTTCATAATTATGCCATGAAATTAGATCGACGTAGTCATTACAGACGGAGAATGCGGTTTGCAGTTGTGAGCCATCGTGAATGACAAAGTTTACCTGGGTTCCTTTTTGCTATATCAGGAGAACATATACCACTAGAAATTGCCTGGCATATTTCCAAAAGGTACTTTTGATCAGTGCTCAAATCTTTTAATACAATTAGTATATCCGGCAGATATCCTTCGATTGGTTTAAAGTTAACGAGCGGAAGTTCTTCGCAATTACCAATCTTGTCGCCTATATCTCCTGCATATCTCGCTGGCCCTGTAGATTTGACGCTTAAAAATCTGCAGAGGTGACGAAAAGGGAGTTCATTTGCATGAAAGAGGCAAACTATCCATTGCAGGGGTCTTCCCATTTCTTTTTCAAGCAGGGAAATAATTCCATTAGTACTCCCTGTATTTGTAGCAGTACCATCGCATCCTATTATTGTGATATTTGAAATATTGATTTGCTTTTTCTGCAAGAAAGAACCAATACTGGTTTTAATGTTAAGTGCAGTACTTGATTCCGGACTAACATGACCTAAATATTTTGATTCAGGTTCTTCTACAAAAGAGATATGTTCTTCTAAGATGGTTCTACGATAATATTTGGTTCCTTTTTTTCCTGTACAATAGTATGATCTTTTCTTCCGTCAAAGTAGAAGCCTTTAATCCTAAGATTCTGTAACTCATCTGTTTCATGACCCGATTTCACAGTAAGCCTTTCTCGATTCCTTTTTCGTTCTCTTCTTACTTTCATCCTATCAATTACTTTGGTGTTGTCTAATGGTGTAATCAATCCAACATCTTCAAGTACTGCACTGGCAATGACTGCCGCTGCTCTGTCCGAAACCCCAGTTCTATCACAGATAGATGCTAGCGACGGCAATTTAACACGCATCTGCATCTGCAAGGTTGATGGTTCTAAACGCGAATTCTCAACCGCTGACGATGATGGTAGACGTACTGGCGAAACTTCTTCCTCGGATTCTTCCTTGGAGTCTAAATCAAATTCATTGGTTTCTTTTGTACTTTTTAAACTTTCCAGTTTCATTCGTATATTATCCGATGTCTCTTCTCTATACTTAAAAATTCTGCAATGTTGTTCTTGCTTCCTTATCTCCTTGTGTGCAATTTGTTTAGTAGTGGCTTTGTCAACACTACATATGACCATGTGCCTCTGTGATCTTTGGTCTTGCAAAAACGCTTTTTCAATAATAGGGACTTTCTTAATTTTTTCACATTCACACCTCGCAAAATCAGAACATTTGCAGGCTGCTATATCAAAAAGTTGCTTTGAATTTATTCTAAAGGTGTTTAAATTTGAGTCATACTTCTGAGTTCCTTTTCTGCCCTTTGATTTTAAAAGATTTCTATATTTTTCATGATATGACTTTATCATCTGTGATACTCTAGTTTGAGAGACAATGGGAATAGAAGCTCTTACCCATATTCGTTCAACTTTTGGAACTAATTTGTCAGTAAGTTCACCTACCGTTGGTTCCTTTTCGCTCAGTGCTCTTAATTCCTGCCGTATGTACAAGTAACACTTCATAATATCTTCATAACTGGGAAGAACGTTGTCATTTAAGTCCTTTGGACAGCCAAATATAGGACACTCAACTGCTTGTCTAGTTTGTACTTTTTTTAGCGTTTCCATTTTCTTTTACACTCGCCAACAAGATCTCGGAAATAGTGAATTATTATATTTCTATAGCACACACCTCGCAATACACAACAGATAATTCACACCTATCTAACGTACAATTTATATTATTATGGGTGCACGACCACACCAATTGGCATGCTTGCTTATAATGCCTACACTCTTAACACATTCGCTGCGGATGATGCCTTTTGACACCATCATTTGTTTCATGTTTCGTTTGTTAAAATCCGTCCTGCACGTAGCGAAACAGCACGTGTTGCTGTAGATACTTACAACAAAGGTTCAGCGCAGGTATTACTTATAGCCGTTTTCAATTTAATAACTGAATAAAATCTAAACAGCAAATTCAATGTTACAGTAACTGGGTTGAAAAAATACGTGTTGTCTATATTGAAGTACCTTCCTACGAATCCGCAACGAATATGTTAATGCGATTGGTTTGCTCCTGACAATAATATATGACTTCACCCAAGGTTACTTCAAATTGCGCTGGCACTTTATGATACCATGAAATTATGTTATAAAGTATTAAAAAAGGTGAAATATTTTTAAAAATGTAAGAACTAAAAATTTTAACTATCTCCTTACACGAATTCCGTTATAAAAGGAAATGTGAAGGATCATTTTTTACTTTAAACCTATAAAAACAGTTTATAGATATAAATTTTAAAAAATATGTTTAAAAATGAAAAAGAAAAAAATCCAACCCCTTGCGGCACCTCAAAAATTGTTTTGACAGAAACTAACTTTTACAGGCTTAATCTGAAAGCCTAAAGGCAACTTTTTTTCACTATTAGAAAACAGTCACACAATTTTCATTTTTTCGTTCCACCCTAAATGTACACTTTATGTTTTTCAATTTGTATATTATTTGATATGTTTGGAATATGAACTTATAAACTGCGTGTCATACGAACTTCAGAGGAAATTTTTAATTCTCAAAAAACTACAGAAAGTAATTAATATTCAAAAATTTAAGAAATACTAAATCATAGGACTTATTACAGTTAGGGGTTAAGACAACCCTCTACAAAGGGTACATTTCAATTCTATTAATAAAAATATAAATTTGCATAAAATCCACGGTCTACTTATAACTTATTTTAAGAATTTATGAATAGTAATGGATTTCCATCTCCGGATGGCATCATCTGTAGAATCTAAGAATGATAAAAAATGGGAAGGAAGATGGATCGAAGTTGCATTTGTTGTTCAATTAGTTCGTGTGCGATCCCAGTCTAGAAAATATAAAAACTCTTTCTAAAAATTACCTCTGTAGAAAATAATATTCTAAGATAATGACTTCACTTATCGCTTTGTACGTTAAATAACTCAAGTCTTAAATACTTGCGTTGATATGTGTTATAGGCAAAGGCAAAGTCTAATCAAGAAAACTATATGTTTACGACGACCATGGGAAAACGAAAACGATAAACATATAATATAAAGATATACGTTTTACTTCCATTAACTTTTTCAAATGCAGTATCAGGCACTTACAGACTACCTTCGAAATAAGAAATATTTTGTAAAAGAAGAAAAAGAATTCTTGCAGGATGTAGGTGAAATCTATTTAAATAAAATAAAGTAATATAATATTCACATTTCAATATAATATTAATGACATCAACATAAGCAAATTGATGCAATTTCTTTAAAAAATGAATTGCTTATAAATATGTGGGTATTTGTTCAAAAAGATCTTTATTTAAATATTAAAAGTGACTAGGAACTAATTTTAAGACTATTTGAATAACAGCTACGCTTAAACTGATATAACTTAGAACGACAACTTAAAACAACAACTTAAAACGACAACTTGAAATGACAACTTAAAGCGACTTGTTACGGCAACGTCTTGTCAAGTGAGTCTCCTTTTTCCGCTCGAAACATCCCTTTTTAAAACCTTTTCCGCCCCACCATTCAAGCTTCTTTCGGGCGCGTACATGACCAAATATGGTCATGCTTGTGTTTCGCACCCCTGCGCGAGAGGACCTCGAACGCGTCACTGGGCCCGCCGACCCAGGGGTTTTTCCCGTCCCTTTCGACCTGTAACGCTTTCTCTTTTAACCTATAGTTCTTACTCCGCTCAAGTTCCTCGCATTTCCCGATACCACAAATATTTATATAACCTGTCTTTAACTAGGGTCGAAAATAGTGACTTTAGCTCTCTGAATAACACAAATTTAGTATAAGTATTTTACCGATCAAGTCTCTAAAATAGTATCAATTTCATTCCGAACACGTTTCTTTCAACTAGTTATTCCAATAATGTTCTAAAAAACACATTGAAAAGTATTGAAAATGAGTAGTTATGTGGCGCCGCCTCCCATGTTCGCCACCAGAGGAGTCGCGCTCTCACAAGCGCTCGTCCGACCCCTCAGTTGCTATACATACAGGGTGTCCTCTCTAAAGTGTGACAGTCGCGATACTATTGATGATACGAAAATTTTGTCTATATTATTAGTTTCAAAGATACGATGGTGAAGTTTCGTTTTTTAAATGGCACTGTATATTTTTGTTTGGATCATGCGATAGCGTTTTTCAATACGAATTCATTAACCTGCAATTTATTCACCCGATTATTATTAGTTTTCAAGATATAACGCTTGAAAATTGAATGATTTTCGGCGGAGACGTCTCAGTTTGAGTGGCAAGTCATAAAAGCGGTCCTATTGTTGCACTGTTTGACTCCGCCTGTTGAAACCGATAGCAAGGGTCTAGCTCGGAATGGCAGACCAGAAAAGTAACAAACATGTACTATTAGTGATTAACTATTAGTGAATCATTATTTCATTGTGGGTATATTTGTATAAAACCACTTTTTGCCGCGTTTGGCATGCAATGACCCCACTGTGCGACGCCACGAACATAGAAAAAGTCAGTAGCTAAAGAAGAAAGAGGAACTGAGAACCAGATTTATCGTCCCAGTTTAAATACCCGTTGCACATTACATTTCTGAAAATATTTCAGTTTGCACAAAATCTGAAATTGTCCAAAACGTGTTCAATCAATCGAGTGAAATGTCTCAGTGGAGTTAGGGAGAGGTATTTAATAGCACCTCCAAAACATGTACGTATCTTCACAAGGTCAGTGGATAGAGTACATTTATCGAACAGTGGTAGCTAACGAAACCTCCTATCTCATAAGTGTTGCAGTTTCTGATCACTTATGGAACAGCGGAAGCGTTCCGTTTGAAAATAGCTACCTCCTATTCGATAAATGTACCCAGCACCTCGATCCGTCGTTCTTTGATGTTTCCGAAGATAGAAAAGGACATCACAAGAAGGATAAACAAAGAGAGAAAGACTCTCAAGTACAATATTTAATTCAATATTATGCTAACAAATATTGACCGATTTATATCGTGTTTAGTCTCATTTCAATTAGAAAATCTCCCCCAGATGATAGTAAAAATTTGATTAAAAAAAAGTAAAAAATAATAAACTTTCTTCTTGTACAGTAGTGTGGTCACACTGACAGAGACATTTGAACGAAGATGACGAAGGCAATAAAGATTTTTAAAGATAGCCACTACGTCTCCGGTTACACTTCGCCTCACTGGTTCAAGGGGAATCCCCCTAATGGTGGGGATAAAAATGTATCATTTACGGAACAACTCTTAAGGACATTTATCGAGTTTTCACTCTACTACCCAATCAGTCTCAAACAAGTTACTTTTATTATTGAAATTATTAGTATGTTAGATTACCTACATTTGGAATAATATACACCACATAGATAAAATTAATATCCTAACAATTACAAATAATAATGATTACTAAACAATAACAATGTAGAGCCTTGGAATGCAAAAGTAAAAATAATTTCAAATTATACTATACTTACATACCCCATTCTCAGTAAAATTCTTACTACATCAGATTTATCAATTACAAAATATGCACACCCAATGTACATAAAATATTATCGAAAATGAAGGATTGTTATAACGAAGAATGATACAACTGTCAAAATAAGTTTAATAATATTCTAACTAACATACCTTACTACTAGAATCTGATTACATTGCTATACTTACATCATATCAATATTAACTATAAAACATGCATTAGCAAATATATCACAAAGAAATTTATTAATTACATCCTCATATACCTAGCATTCCTTAGAGCTAATGGGCTAGATATCTGATCCTGTCTAATAAAATTCACTCGGCGGTCAGTTCTTCCAAATACAATGGCGGCCTCGAACTTACATGGCGCATCCCTGAGAATCCTTTTCCTCTGCAGCTGCTTCTTTCGAACGTCCATTTTTGGCAGTTCCGGGAAACCCTGATCTACAAAGGCTTTCATCATTCTTCTCTTGTTCCGCCGCTTATGACGTCTGGCTGACTGCCGTAAACTCTTGTCAGAGCTGCAAACGTTCAACCAGTTTCGTGACACTTGCGCAACACACAACAAAGATTCAGGATCCAACTTGCGTAGAATTAACTGCGACACCTCCAAAGGCAGTTCAGAGATGAAATCTACCTTGGCGGGTTGCAGCAATCCAATAACGCGAAGAAAGGACTTGAAGAACTCCATGTTGTCACTGTTGTCGCAGGGGCTCGAATAATGCACCTCTGAAAAATTTGGGATATATATACCCCAGGTCATGGTCGACTGCATGTTCCGGATCGGTGGTTCGGCCAATCACGTCCGAGGAGGAGCAAATCGACTTTCCGGATCAGTGATTCGATCAATCAAATTTTAAATGTACATGTAGAGCATTTGATGTTGTAAACTATTGACATTTGCAAAGCTATAGAATCGTTTAATTGATTGTCCGTGAAAAAGTTGTGCCCTGTTTGTAAAAGCTATGCTTTGTACATGTACACTTTATGTTTTTCAATTTGTATATTATTTGATATGTTTGGAATATGAACTTATAAACTGCGTGTCATACGAACTTCAGAGCAAACAAAATGTTAAATTCTCTTTTACTACTTACTCTACTAGTCAATAAATGAATATTCGTTGTAGGGAGCACTGGACTTCACATCCTGTGCTGGAGTCATTTGTGACTCACACTGTTAATTCATTAAAATATCACGCAACAAATTGAATTATTTACATAATAAGTAAAGTATTGCCATGAGACTATTATAATTAATAATGTATTTGTAGACGAATTTGTTTTACGGAATTTAGAAAAAAATAAAAAGTACGAGATGGATAGAAATCATTGTCTCGTGAATAATATATTTTACATACAACGTAGAAATTTTATATACGCTCACACTGGGGCAGTGTTCTTATTAAAAGGAAAATATGGGGTAGCAGACATCGTAAAAATGTACATGTACAAATGGAACATGAACGTATTACGACTAAAATTGAAAACTAAAATTTTGAGAGAGTACGCAAACGAAAATGTACAAAATTGGTGTATAAATAATGGGGCCATTCTTGACTTTATAGTACCCTATACGCCACAAGTAAACGACAAAGCTGAAAGACTTAATCGCAGTATTCTAGATAGATTAAGAGCCTTGCTTCTAGGTTCCAAACTAAATAAAGAAATGTGGGATGAAGCAGTATGCACAGATGTGTATCTGCTGAACAGGAGCCCTACTATAACAAGCAGTTAACGCCATAGCGCCAGCTGAGAACTGGTACGGTAAAAGTCCAGGTTTTTCCAGTCTTGAGCTTTGTGGGTGCAAAGTCTATGCCAAAGTGTTCTCACAAACAAAAAAATTAGAAGAAAGTAGTAGGAAATACGTGTCTGTTGGATATTCTACATATGGATATTGACTTTGGGATGATCGCAACAAAATAATAATTGCAAGAGACGTCATTTTCCAATGTACTTCTGAAATTGACCATAAAGATCTAAGCAAAGTTCAGTAATATTAAACGAGAAAGTAAAAGCTAAATTGTTAATAGACAATCAGAGTGCCATTAGTCTTATCAAAAACGGGCTATTGAAGGACTAATAGAAATAGATCAGCGTCCTACCAACGAGCAAATTGCTGAAATTTTCACGAATCCGACAGACAGTGTTAAATTCAAATATTTACGAAACAAGATATGAGATATAGAATAAATAATTAAACATTTAGTAAAACCTTAATAAAATATAAATTTAATTCTCGTCATTGTAAAACTTAGATATAGCTTAGTTTTTAAGTGAATATGCATATTGAAAACGAAAATAAAAAATAAAATCTTGGATATTATAAAGTTAAAACAAATAGAGATTTACAATTACAATGGAATGTCAGGAGTAATAAGACAAAACATAATCGTAAATCTCACTTGTGTCGACAAAAAAGGTAATCGATCGCCACCTGCTGGATCACTTATTGATTATAGATTAATCTGTAATACAATGTAACACGCTACGTACAGCTAATTGTTTTCTCATTAGTTGTGATAAATAAAACATATATAATTAAAATAATACATTGTGCAGTAAAAACCTCAACAGTCAATAATGCATTTGTGGAATACATATTATTTTATTAAGAAACATTGAACTATAATTATAACTTCGGAAATTACGCTACATACTATCCACCACTGTTTCTTATTTTTAATAAATTTTTATCTTATAAAGCGATTAGCTTATCTAGTTCATTAATTGTACGCATGTAAGCGTTCCTCGCAGTGAAATTAGCAATGTATTCGTTAAAATAACGATAATCGCGCAATTTCCGTTTTGGAATATTCTTTCTGTTTGCAGGAACTGATATAACGGACTTCGTTTCCGGTTTATCTCCACCGAAATTTTGTTTTACGTCTTTCCCTGCTAACTCGCGTCTCATTTTGTCCAACTTTGCAGTCCTTCTCAGATGACAATCGGATTGGCAAACTTTCATCCACTGTCGTGATACTTGCGCTGCGCAGAGAAGAGATTGGGCATCCAGTTTTCGTAGTATCATCTGCGATATCTCTACTGGAAGTTTGGAAACGAAGTCCGCTTTGCATTTTCGCGTCCGGATGTTTCGCAAAAATGTCACGAATGTCATCGCGATATCGAGCAGCGACGGAACACATAAATCAACGTCTCGATCTGATCTTCGACTGGGTCAATCACATGTCTAAATCACTTTCTTATCGCCTGTCTGTTAAATTAATTTGTTCGTAGCCACTGGAACGGAAGAAGACTTTGTCAGTTGAAACAAATAGTATTCTAATATTACGGATTCACTAAATACTGAAAACAAAATAAACTGTACAGAGGCACCATGACACTATAGTACGATAAAAAATAGTTAAAAGCTAATTTAGAATAGTTCGAATCATAATAATACTTACTTGCAAAACTGGTATTAAACTCGATCATGAAACAAACGCAATTGGTATGACTTGTATACGTCCGAGACATTATATGAAACTCTTTATCAATAATAATTAAATACTATCTCTTTTTTTTGCAATTATACACTGGACTGCATATCATTACTTCATTTCGTAGGGCAATTATGAATAATTACACTCTTCCTAATTATATAAAACAAGGTCGAGAGAGGGTACACTGTTAGCGCCATTAGCATTAAAGTCTTTGATAGCATTAATTATGATCCATTTATATCCGTTGATAATATACATGAAATGAGAAAAATTCAGAATGAAACATTTGAAACTCCTAGTTCCTTGTTCCTTCAGAAACTCGTGTTTATAGGTAAAAGATACAAGTAGTTTCAATTCAGTCAATCATATGTCAAAATCTATAAATGATTCAATAGCCTAGATAATATTACCGTTCAATATATGTTCAAAAGTCTAGATAACGTTACAGATCAATATATATTCAATAATCTAGATAATGTTGTGTGTCAACCTACCCTGATCTACCCTATCAGTATTCTTTCTAAACAATATTACTACCGCCTATATGACTCAGCGTCATAAGTGTAAAAATAATTTTGATTACATTCTAAGTAACACATATTAAAAACAGAAGAAATCTTATAGCATTAAATCCACTTTGCCCCTATAATATTAAAAATAAAGCTAACCAGGAGCAGCTATGTCATAATAAAATTAATTATATTACATTCTAATACATCCATTGGATCTTATGCTAACATTATCTCTCATTAGCACAACACGTTTTGATGACATCAGTATCGAATCTAGCACAAGACATATTGACACAAGTACTCTTCATTTCGTGAAGCTTCCTCGATGTATCCATCCTTGTCCGAATTAGGAAACTTCGTCCTAGAAAGCCCTCCCTCATTCGTCTTGCATTGTGAAGCTTATGGCGTCTTCTTGATTATCGTAACCTCCTGTCAGAGCAGGAAACGTTCAGCCACTTTCATGATACTTGCACAGAACACAACAGAGATTCAGGATGTAACTTACGGAGAATTAACTGCGACGCCACCAGCAGTAGTTCAGATATGAATGACAATAGTACTCGTAATTTATTAATATTTTAATCATCTAAAAATGTGCTTCTCAAAAGTAATAATATTATTTCGACTCGCTCAAATGTTCAAAAAATTGTATTTTTAGCAAAGGCAATGCACGTTTTAAATTGTCAGCAATTACAAGATAATACACAATTTTAATTAATTAATATAATTGAGGCGCTTTTATAGCATTACTGATTCTACGAACATCTGATGTATTCGAAACTAACGTCAGACGTATCCCTATGGGTAAATCCTTTGAGTCAGGAATGAGCATCGTCCTGTTCACTTCAGCACAGGTAATCGTTACTTATACGATCTTCTTGTACACATCTTCGAGCTTTAGCTGTGGCATTTTGCAGATGATTGGTACTATGAGGCTTGCAAGTGTTCAGCCACCTTCGTGACAGTTGTTAAGTGTCTAAAATCAGAGTTTACTACGATACCCCAGATAGCAATTCAGGGACGGAAAGTATTTTGAGAGGGTCACCAACCAGGTGGACGAAGGTTTTAAAAATCTTTGGAAGAGACATCGAAGCTGAGCCATGAATTATGGACATCAAAATGTGAGATTTATACAGGGTGTTTTGTTATTTGAAGTTGAATGGGTGATTTTTACATCCGATGACAAGTTGAATACATTATAGTCGTCAGAATTTAGTAATATTTTAATCATCTGAAATGTGCTTCTCAGAAGGCATAATATTATTTTGACTCGCTCAAATATTCAAAAAATTATATTTTCAGCAAAGGCAAAGTATGTTTTAAATTGTCAGCAATTAAGAGAATACACAATTTTAATTAATCAATATAATTGCGGTGTTTATACAGAATTATTGATCTGATGTCACGAGGTTTAAACCCTCCGGTCATTTTTTATAATTAACATTACAATCGTATATTAATGTATTGTTATTATTATTATATTTCGATAAATTCAATTCTTCCTTTGGAAACCAAGTACGTCAAATTACAATTAACTCTACTCAACACTACTCAACAAATCACTCCTATACAAATTTAATGCTAAAGTTTTAAAGTTCAATTTTAGTTTACAATTCACTGCTAAGCATGCACGAGCAGGTATGTCACAATAAAATTCATTATACTACATTCTAATACATCCGTTGGATCTTATCCTAACATTAGATCTTACCTCACCGCGTGTTGGAAGACTCCTAAGACGTTGAGCTCT